GCGGGTCCGGAGACTAATGGGTAGCCAGTGCAGCTCGCGGAGGATAGGTGTGACATGGGTACCTGGGTGCACCCACAATCGCTCGCGCGGCTGCATTCTGGACTAACTGAAATCTTCAAACACTCTTCAAGGGCAGCCCCATGTAGAGCGCGTTACAGTAGTATATGCAGAAAAAATAGTTAAAAACAAAAGATAAAAAGACTACTTCTACATTTCTTTACAGCAGTTACAAACTCATTATCCTTCCTCCCTACAGAACAGTACAATAGTCCCTCGTCCCTTATTCAATCTTTTTACAATTATTAAATCCAGAAATCACCATTTCAATATTTTACCATTTTCCTAAAATGTTCCCAGTCTTTAATAAAAGTATTTATTACTTTCTAATAAGTAGGTCATTTTTGTCATTTCTGTTGGTTCGGCCATCTTTACAATCCATTCTTCCATTGTGGGCATTTTAGTATTTCTCCATCTGTTCCAAGTTATGACAGTGCTGAACGAATAGTGGTTACAATTGATCCTTAGGGTTCTGGCCGTCCCAGGATCCCCAGGATCATGTGATGATGATCTGGGCACTTGGCAACCACTTGCATTTATGACCAGTTGTAGTACCCAGCAGTCATCTGATTGCCATTTATGACCTTCTCTGATGGCTTTCCCAATAAGTCAGTGGGGAAGCTGGCAGGGAAGGTTGCAAGTTACTGGAGTCTCCACCACCTACACATCTTTCTCAGTCCCTCTGCACTTGCAACCTGCAGGCTATTCAGGAACCACTGCACAACCTCTGCCTTCTTGCTACACCTTTCTTGCACACCCTCCCTAAGCTTTGTGGCATCACCCTCACATACACCCTAGTACGTCCCTGAGCCTTGCCATGCATCTCTCACTAGTTACACATCCCCTCACTCCTTCCCTATGCAGTAGAAACCACCCCTAAACAAGAACTATTTGTATCTTATATAAGTGACAGGGTGGGGATAATTTCAAATGTTTAAATATGAATAATATCATTAACATGGCAGTGTCACTGCATATATGAATTTCCCATATTGTAAGCACAGATGTATGTATGATTGCCCGATTTGCATAGTAAAGGGTAATAAGTACACTAGGGAAAAATGAAAATGATTTGTGCTTTCTTTAATTCCATTCCTTTACTTCTTTTAAGGTCTGACTAATTATTTCAACCTGTTATGCAATCTTTTGCTTTCATTTATTTTCAGACTGGAGTAAAACAGCAACTAATATAATAAAGAAGAGTTCAGACAATCTGGGGAAATCCTTATCTTCCAGTTCTATTGGTTCTAATTCAACATATCTGACTTCCAAATCCAAATCCACATCCAACACCTACCATAAGAGGAACAGCCATTCTGGTCAGTAGTTTTCAATATGAAAAGTCTAATTTTAAACTATCTACCCGAGATAGCTTGGTTTACATTGATGTGGAACCTTAGATAAGTTATGGACTAGAAATGCATCCATGGGAATTAACCAGAATTTGGCTGGGATTCATCTGCCTCAATGCTATTTTTTTCCAACAGCCCATTCAAGTGACATATATCAGCAGAAGGCTCTCAAGCCCCACATTGTATTGAGTTATCTTTAAGATTACCAAAAGCTAAAACTTATCAAAATCTAAAACAGAGTAAGATTGTTGGCACTTTTCAACAAAACACTGCTAACACTCCTTTTTTATATAAGTAACATTTCTTTTAATTTTTATTTATTTTACTCATCAAATGTCTACATCTCACTTAAGTGATTTTGGTGGGTTACAGTTTTTTTTAAAAAAACCATTGTATTGAGTGCAAAAAGAAAACACTAAAAGTGTTTAAAAGTATTTATAATTATTGGCATATAACCCCCCATTGCATTAATTGCAAGAAGTCTTTTTAGTAGTCTTCTTTTTCATTAAATATGAATCAACATAACAGTGACGTGCGGTCAGCTTTAGGCCTGGTGAGGCACTTTTTAGACTTGTGGACTTCAACTCCCAGAATTCC